GTGCCGTGCACAAGTCAGTTGGGACCCATTTTGCACGTGCGCACGTGCAGAGTGCCGCTTCCAGATCTCGAGAACGGCTGGGCCGATTGTGCTCAAATTTGGCACATCGCTAGAGACCGGTTAGTAAGGTGCCGTGCACAAGTCAGGTGGAGGTACCCCCTCGAAATTTCGCACGTGCATGGCCCACCCTCTCGCTCGCTCCGTTAGTCGCCCCAAAAGGTGTTATACTGGTATTACCAGTTCAATAGCAAAAGCAAACAGAGCCCTCGCACAGCTATTCAGATCTTTCCATACCGGCTTGCCCAGACAAAAACTCGATCAGAAGGCTCTGATCGTCCGATCTATTCTTGAATACGGTAGTGTTGTGTGGTCTGGCGCAGCCAAAAGTCATTTAAAACGGTTAGAACGAGTCCAGCACAAATTCCTTAGGTGGCTAGCAGCTCGGGCCGATGGCACGGACAGATTAATTTGCTTGGAATACCGTCATCTTTTACACTTCTTCCATGTTTTATCAATCGAGGCGCGACGCACTCTGTTCGATCTTTTATTCCTGAAAAGCATTTACTCTGGACGGATCGACTCGTCTTTTTTTATTAGCCTCGTTCGCATTACATGTACCACGTCGTCCGACACGGAACGTCCAGTTGTTTAACCCGCGCCCTGCTGGGGGGGGGGGGGTTGAACACCCCCTTGCGGTTTACGCGAATATCTAAAAAACGGCCATTTTGGCGCACCTTATCATGCATCTTTTCTACATATGTTGTGAAAATTTCAGACCCAGGTCACTCAAGGTCAGGTCACCAGGTCAGATCAAGTGACCTCACTACATAAAAAGTTTCAATGTCTGCCAAAGCTACACCGAGTGACCGATCGCTTTGAAACTTTCAGCGAGTGATAAGAGCAACATTATGTACAAAATGTATATCTTGGAATTTCGATATCAATGACCTAAGGTCAGATCAGTCAATTTTGCGACCTCCCCATTATAAGTCAATGGGAGAAAATTGAAAGTCGCCTTTTTTAGACGGAAGTCATTATAAACATTCTAAAACACTGAATTACTAGTGTCTTTGACACACTGAATATGGAAATGGCACCCGAGACCCCTTTTTATGTCCCTGGGGTCATCTCAGGTCACCAATGATATCTGACTGTTTTTCGCGAATAACTTTTGATATAGGCATGCTAGAGCGATGAAAACACCTTAGTTGTGTTTGGCTCGACGATACAGATCGACTGATATGCAATTTGACCCTTACCAGTCAGGTCATGACCTTCACCTGAGGTCAAATTTTCAAGTTGACCTTTCAAGGTCAAGTGATAGTTCATTCGATGCGTCTTGACGAGAGGAACGCGATGCTGGTAAAAGAATGTTCGTGGAAGTTTGAGTCAAAGGTTATTGCAGAAAAAAGGCTTTAAAAAAATCGGCTATTTTGGCAGTTTTTGCCCCCTGCAGGCAAAGCATAACCGTTGACGGTAGGTCAAATCCGAGAGAATTGCTCAGAAAGAGCGTTAATAGGGCTATCAAATGCGCTTTTTCGCGGCGCTGTAGCTTTAGTAGCTTCCGAGCTGTGCGTCGATTTGTTGAAAATTATCGACATCTAACCTACAAATAGGCGAATTTTGGCCCTAAATGACCTCTGGTGACCTGAACTTTGACTAGACCAAAAAAGTGACCGATGTAATTTCTTCCTTATTTTTGACGCTCTTCCGAACGTCGCCTTTTCCGTATCATTACGTGGCCCAGGAGCCGAGTTAGAAGGGGGGTGTTCAAACACCCCCCCCCCCCAGCAGGGCGTGGAAATCCAGGACCCCCAGCAGGGCGCGGGTTAATGTGCCCTTTGCTCAAGTTTCGATGGTAAAGACAGGAACTTTTACTAGACTGGCGGCACAAGCAAATGATTTTATCGCCAGGAATCCTCAGGTGGATTTCATGTCGGATACTTTTAGCTCTTTTAAATCATTCTCGGTGGCCCACTGCAGGAACATGCCTTTTAGATCCGTGTCTTAGAGATTTTAAAGTTTATTTGTACTATTTCTTATTGCTTTTTTCCTTTTACTTTTGTTTTATTTTTCTGCGTTCTTTTATATTATATCATTTTATTTAAGGCTGTTTTATGGATCTCTGTATTTTTAAGTGTCATCTATTGGAAATGAGTGAGTGTGTCTCCATGTTAGTGTTCACCTTGTGTGTGTATTTTATGTTGTGATATGACTTCACCTGTTAGTGGGCCATGAGCTTGTTGGTGATTTATCTGAATTAATAAATAAATAAATAAATAAATAAATAAATAAATAAATCATCAGGTCAAATGGTTCTTCAATTAATTTGACAATGTCTGACCAGCAAATCAGGTTGAAGATTACAAGGGTGCAATATGTGCCACTAGCAAACTAATTCATTCATTTATATTCCAAAAATGAAAAGTAAAGCTCCAATTGATGAATTGAGATAAGTTGTGTTGAAATGGGTTGAGGTGAGATGAGAGATAAGAAAAAGGCCATTCAGGGCTGCTCACCATATGAGGACTCTAGAACAGATGACTTAAAGCCAGAATAAACACTGTTGTCTTAGCACCAGGAGGTTTGAGTTTCAGCAGGTAGGTATCAAAACAGGCATCACACACTGAATCAGGAAATATGAATTAGAATGGTTATGCAGTGTCATAATATGTCTTCTTAGTGTGCAATTTGTCTCAGACATTTATTTATTTTGCTTAGTGGATTGAAACATTGCAGCCTCATGCAGCCTGCAGTGGTGTATAAAAGTAAAACATTTTCTTGAAACTCCTTGTGCAAACAGTGATGATGATATGCAGGTGGCAGACAATGGTAGGTGAAGAACAGTGAATAAGTCATTAAGATACGTTAAATCACAGATAACAGTAGTACTGGATTGGAAACAGGATTCCGGTGGCTGCAGTAAGAGGCCGAAAACAAAACCGAATATTTCGTGTCCAGACTTCGATATCTTCTCACACAGGCAAAAAAGAAATTGGTTTATGTGAATGAAACTTATAAAGAAGCAATCTAGCCGTGCTCGTGTTTATTGCTGCATTTTTGCATAATGACAATTTATTTTACTAAACGTTGCTGGTTACACTTTCCTCACCGTGGTGAGGGAACGTATGCCACTGAGTTGATTATAATGATTTCCCATTCTCATCCACAAAAAGTACTTGTACATGGGAGTTTGATCTCTTTATTTACATGCTAATCGACACCAGTCCTGTCACAACGAACCATCCAAACGTCACAATTCAAACCAACGTCACAAAACACCCCTTCAAGTGTCACTTCGCTTCGCCTGCCATCCCAATTTCATCAGCGACCTTACTTCCCCGCCTTACATCTTCTTGACCCTGCTGAGCCTTGGCCTCTTGTCGCTCCTCGATCGGGTTGCACCTTGGGTGCAACCCGATTGCCGCTGGGGTGTCTGCTTCCTGACTTTCGATGGACAGCACTGTCTTGAGTGTCTGCCTCACATATCAGTTACCATGTTTCCACACTTTCCAGCAAATACGAGTAGATTGAAAACCGTCGCATACATCTCTGGAAGGATGCTCCTAAGGACGTCGTGGCTATCATTGCAAACGACTTCCGGTCAGTTCGACATCCCGGTTTACGACTATCTTCGTCACTTCTTGGTTGATCGCAGACCAGCAGCTGGTTCCTGTTAGCTTCCGTCTTCGGCAGTTGCCTCCAAATATGGCAGATCCTCACGGTGAGGTCGATGTCTTCCTCGTCTTTCTCCAGTCGTACCTCCAGCGGCGTAGCCCCAAGATAGATCAACAGGCTGGCGGAGGCATCGTACTTGTTACGCCTGGTGGCCGAGCGTGCCAAGGCGCCAGAGCTGTGTCCCAGGGAGGCCTTGGCGCTGTCATCCAGGTCCTCCATTTCAGTGGATTTCGCCACCGCGGCCACTGGCTCCTGGATGACAAGAGCACCATCCTGCTGTCACTCCTGCTGTGATGCTGATGGTGCCATTCGGGCGGAGGCGTCGGCGGGGCTGAAACGTGACCAGTGACCACCATCTGAGGCCCTTAGTTCGACTTCGGAGTACCGCCGTATTCTCCAGGAACTGTCGTACACTCGACCAGTTGTAGTTGCCACCTGATAGCTGACATTGTCATTCGTGAAGAACGCATCGGTCTGGTCCTTCATAACCTGCTTCTGGTGTGAGTGGCGTGCGGATGCCATGGCTAGTTTCGCTGGCCGCTCGTGCACAGGGGGCATCGCGTAATCCACGCTGGTCAATACTGACAGGACTGCGTCGCTCTTGAGCCGACGGCGCTGTCTCTGCATGCCGGTGCGAAATGACCGATCATCTTCGAAATCTTCCTTTCTGAAATGCAGCTCACACATGCAGCGGAATAGTCCTGATTTCACTCAGCCGGGTCACGGTGACCCATGGCGCCAACCCACTGAGCCCGTAGAGATGTTTCGGTGAGAAAAGCGAATAGGTGGCATGTGAGACATCTCCTGTTCTAATATTTTGTTCCTCTTGGTTCGTTGGGTTGTAGCCAGAACGGCAGGTTTTTACCGCTCATTCCCCTCCTCCATTGTTGATGTACCTATACGTATGTAAGGCTTTGCACCACACTTTGTTTTCAAAAGAAAACACCACGCATTGTGCCCTCTAAATAATCAAATTAAAAGTGAAATACTTTAATTTTTTAAGCAAATGAAAGTAACATTGGTAGCTTCGATTTTAAATGTAAACCAAGATGTAAACGACAAAACACAAAAATGACGATTTATTGCAATACACAACTCACAAATTATCCACCCAGAAGCACGCGAGAATCCCATTTTGGCGCCGTCGCATAAAAACATTCGGCCTCTTACTGCAACTGCCAATATTCTGTTTCCAATCCAGTACTACTGTTATCTGTGGTTAAATAAAAACATGGCTACATACATACACATGAACACCATTGGCACCAATTGACATTGCCACCAAAGGTTCAAAATAATGAAATAACCAGTTTGCTACTCACCTCTGCATTGAATGCCTTGACTAAATCCATGGCTGCTCTTGAAGGTGCTAACTATTGCAAAGAAATGAATGCAAACTACAAACTGCTAGCAAATTATGGGCACATTTCTACTCATACAAATATGAGTAATCAACAATCAGTCCTAAGCATCAACAAAGGACTTTATCTATTGCCCATCTTGTCTTCAATATAAAACACATGAAAGTCTGAAGCACTTGCAGAATTTTGACTTGCCGAACAACACTGACGAGGCCTTCATGGCCAGTTTAATCTTCATAACCACAAATTGAGTAGGTGACTCTGATACAATAACATCTAGAGTTCTGAAAATGGTGCAATTTTTATATTTAGCAAGTGACTTTGATATGAAAAATCCAAGTTCACACTTCACAACCTTTCGGTGGCCTGAGCACAACCGAATCGGATCCACCGTCCCGCGTTCTTCCAGTACAATGTCAAGCTGACTTTTTGATTTCAATCAAGTCTTGTGATGTTCCTTATGTTAAATAAACATGTTTTCACCAGAGCCTCATACATTTAACACCAAAATTCACTAAAAACTTCAATCATGCACACAATACGCCGCCGACGGCCACACACCACGCCAGCAACACTGCGTCACTTTCGTCAACCGTGAGCACGATTGTGGATTGAATTGCGAAATCGTCGCATTGCGCACGGACGCACGTGTGCGATTTTGCTCTTAGGCTTATTAGATATTGATATTAAGCGATTGTTGTTGCGTGGCTAGCTTTCCCAGTACTTTCTCGAAATTATCATTCTCGGTATTCTCTTTTTGGCGCTCATCGTTGTGAATTTCTGCTGAATACTGGCGGCGGCGGTGCTGCGCCGCGCTCGGTCCGCGTCGGTTTAGTGTCGGCCATTTTCCCACCTGGAAAATCGTGATTTGAACAAACCGGTAAGGTTCTTTGTTCTCTCCTTACTGTTACGTCTCTGCTTTGTTAATTTGCTCCTTTCTCCATCAAAAGTTTCCTTCATACTCGTTTCTTGGGTGTGCCGCCTGTGAGATCTCGTTTTTTTTTTAAACCCTCTTCGTGCGTTTGGCACGCTTTTTTCGGCGCATTTCCAACCATCTACATTCTCTAAACATGGCCCCTCCCCTCTCCCGCCCCCGCCCTCCCCTGACCCGCCCCCTCCTCGAAGATTCCTCTCCGGGCTCGCCTGGTCGAGGCTGGGAGCCGCTAGATGACGTGCCTGACGGGCAGTCGTTTATCATCCTGACTAGTCCTGATCGGTCCCTCCAGGGCCTGTCACCGTTTCGAATCAAACGAGAACTCGACACCTTAATCGGCCCGGTTGTCACCGCAAAGGTAGTCCGATCGGGATCTCTTCTAATCCGGGTTAAAAACAAGGCTCAGGCCTCGCTGGCCCTTTCGATCCAGACTTTCCTCGGCAACGAAGTCGCCGCCAGCCCTGCCACCAAACTGAACTCGGTGGCCGGCACTGTATTTGCCCCATCACTGAAAAACATGGACGAGACGGAGCTCCTACACGAACTGCGGCCGCAGGGGGTCACCCTCGTCACTCGACTCCGCTCGCGTGGCCCCACCCCAAACCCGAGGATCAAAATCCACTTTCTGGGCCTTACCTGCCCACCGGCTATATACGCGGGATATGAAATCTTGGAGGTCAGGGAATGGGAGCCCAGCCCCCGCCTCTGCCGACAGTGCGGCAGCTTCGGCCACAACCAGACGACCTGCAGGTCAAAGCGACTGAACTGCCTGAAGTGTGGCACATCCGGCCACAAGGTCGATGAGTGCGACCGGGATCTCTACAGGTGCGGCCACTGTGGTGGCCCGCACCCAGCCTGGGATCGGATGTGCCCCGCATGGGAGTACCAAAAAAATAAGCTCAAAGCCAAGCTGGCGCCACCACCCCCGCCTCCACCGTTCCCGCCGAGTTCCTACTCGGAGTCAGGTGCCTCTGAATATCCGGCGCTCTCGTCCTCTCCACGCAGGGCCTCACTCACCGACACCGTACCGAGTCGCGAAAACCCGCCGGTCCAGAGTCGCACCCCGAAAGCCCCTGTCCGTCGACAGCTGAGCGCGCCCGAGGCTGTGGAGACCCCCGCGTCTGAGCCGGAGCGGGTGACTGAATCGCCCCTCAGCTCGGACGGAAAGCAGACGGAGACGTCGGCCGGTCCTCCGGCTGTCACCCCGGGACAGGCGCAGTGCGACCGCGGCGACGACGAATCGGTTCCAAACAGCACCGGCAACATGGTGATGGAGTCATGGGTCGACAGTATCGTGGACACAGGGGCGGACTCAGACGTTTCTGACACAGAGACCGTCTCTACAATCGTGGGTCCGGTGGCCTCTCCGCCCGCCGACTTAGAGACGGATGAGGCCGCCCCAGCGGCGAGCCAGCATGTAAACGCAGACACTCAGCATCCGCGAGCCACGACACGCGCCCCGTCCCCAACCCCGTCAGAGGGGATGAAGACCAGAGCCGCAGCGGCGGCTGCTCGTGAAAAATCTGTTTAACACTCAACACACATAAAACATGCATCGATCTGATGAATTCGTCCTCCAGTGGAACACTTCCTCTCTAGTGAGCCACTGGGGCGAATTCAAGAACTATATATTAAATAAAAAACCGTTGATAGCCGCCATTCAGGAGACCCATTTTCTGGACTCAGATTCCTTTAACTACAACTTTAACATACGTGGATATACTTTATATACAAATAACGTAAATGAAAAACCCCGCCGAGGCGGCTCGGCCCTTTATATTGCTAATAACCTCTTGCACCACGAAATTCAGCTCCGCACCACGCTTAACGCGGTCGCAGCTCAAGTCAAAATAGCGCAACATGACCTTGCCATCCTTTCCCTGTACCTTTCCCCTAGCCACCGCTTTTCCTCCTCTGAACTCCGCCAATTGTTTGTCCAGCTCCCCCACCCCTGCCTAATACTAGGAGATTTTAATGCCCACCACAGATCCTGGGGCTCAACAACGAACAACGCGCGCGGAACACTAATTGATAAGATAATGGATTCACTTGATCTCATTTGCATTAACAACCGCACACCCACTTTCACCAGACGCAACCAAGGTCAAGTCATACACTCCGTCATCGACTTGGCCTTCACAGACACTAACACCGCGACACTTTTCACTCAACACGTCGGAGATGATACATTGTTTAGCGACCATTATCCCATTCACTATCAACTTAATGTCCCTTCAGGACAAGCCAATTTTACATTTCTTCCTCGTTGGAACTTTAAGAAAGCTGATTGGGCCTCCTTTCAAAAACATATAGATGAACACACTCCCACCCCTCCCCCTGACATCAACACCTTTTTAAACGTGATTCTCGCTGCTGCTCACCAAAATATTCCCCATACCCACCCCCCACGTGAAAACAAAGCTGCCCCTTGGTGGAACGCTGACTGCAATCGAGCTGTAGCTCTGCGGAAGCGTGCCTTACGAGTCTTTAACAAATGTATTTGCGATTACCATGAAAATGCCCTCCGGAAGGCCCGATATGATGCTTCACAAATAATACTTAAAGCAAAACAAGAAGGATGGCACTCCTTCTCTAACAACTTTAATAGATTTACTCCCCTTTCTAAAATCTGGTCGCTAATTAGAGTTTTTTCTACAAGGCGCAGCACAACTTACAAAATTCCTCATCTCTACATTAACAACACCCACTACGCCACTCCCCTTCAAGTTGCGACACAATTCGCCCAACATTACGCACGAATATCTTCTGCTCAACAATACACACAAGTACAACATGACAGCTTTAACACAACACTCGACACCCTCTCCTTCGACTCAGCAAATACTGAAAATTATAACAAGCACTTTGACTTGTTCGAACTTAGACACGCCATATCTCGATGTGGTGAAACGTCGGTAGGGCCGGATCAGATAGCCTATCCTTTCTTCAAAAACCTTTCTGAATCCGGCCTTGAAAACCTTTTGATAGTAATCAATAATCTATGGGAAAACAATTTGTACCCCGAGAGCTGGAGAAACAGTACCATCGTCCCCATCCTTAAACCCTCCAAACCACCCTCCTCCCCCTCTAGTTATAGACCTATATCCCTAACCAGTTGCGCTGCTAAATTGACAGAACATATGGTCAATGGACGGATTAGGGCATATCTAGAAGGTAACTACCTCCTCTCTCCACATCAAACAGGATTTAGGTCTGGCCGCTGCACGGCAGACAATATAGTCCACCTCATTGATGACATCCAGAAGGGCTTCCAAAATGACATGTATACATTTGCAGTTTTCATTGATTTTCAAAACGCCTTTGATAAAGTAAATAAACAAGCCCTTCTGATCAAACTTCATAAGACAGGTATTCGCGGCCACATGGCCCATTATATCTCTAATTTCCTCAAAGATAGAACATTTAACGTACGATGCGGTAACACATTTTCTCCCAATCTTAATCAGGATCACGGCCTCCCTCAGGGCAGTGTCCTCTCCCCAACCCTCTTCCTTATTATGATTAACGACCTTTTTCAAAATCCACCTAGTAGCCTTAAGCATTCTATTTTTGCCGATGATGTGGCCATTTGGGTAACGCGAAGAAACATTGACTCGGCTTTTGCCTCCGTTCAAAACGCAATGGAGGATATTAATAGCTGGTGCGATAAATGGGGCCTAGTCTTGTCACCCAGCAAAACAGTAGCACTTATATTCTCCCATAAGTCCCGTTTTAAATTTGATACCGAACTTAAAGTAAAGAACCAAACTATCAAATACGTTAAAACGTTCAAATACCTCGGCATCACACTAGATAGTAGACTCTCCTTTAAACATCACTTTGAAGACGTTAAAATGCGTTGCACTAGGCGCCTCAACATACTTAAGTGTATAGCAGGAAAGGATTGGGGTGCTGATCGCAGCACCCTCCTTAACCTATACACTTCCCTAATCCGTCCTATCCTGGATTACAACAGTTTTCTATTTGATGATATAGCTTCTAATCAGATCGAATCACTTCAAGTTATACAAAATAAGGCCCTGCGTATAGTTACAGGAGCCCAATGCACCACAAATATCAAGGCTCTCCACCCAGAATGTAATATTCCTCTTCTCTCTCACCGCCGTAAACTCCAACTCCTTCGCTTCTATGCGCGCACTTTCTTGTCCCCTTATTCGCCTTCGCACCGCATTGTCTCCAATCGATATACGGACGACCCTCCCACAACGGCCCAACTCAAATACCCGATAATCGCCTATCGCATAGAAAGGACACTTAGTGATTTCCAGTTGGATTTTCCATCTATTTTTCATCGGCCACCCACCTCTTCTTTCTTTCTGCCAGCCATAGAGAATATTGCATTCCTGTACGCAGAGGCAAAATCAAAAGTCACAAAAGAAGAAAGCATTCAACTTTTCTATGAGCATAAAGAAGAACATAAAGACTATGCATACATATATACAGATGGTTCAGTTTGTGACGGGAGGACGGCAGCCGCTGTCACATCTGACCATCATAACAAAACAAGTAGGCTACACGACGACCATAGCATATTTAGTGCTGAGTTGATAGCCATTCACTCAGCACTCAAATATGTCTCGTCGAAAAACATAGAAAAGGCTGTGATCTGCACAGACTCAGCTTCATCGGT